GGGGGGACGTCGTGACGCGCAATGAACTGGAAGTTGATTTGTCAACACTATCGTTATCTTCAGGGCAGATGTTTTTATTTTATTCGGCTTATAATTCCTTACTAAATGTAGTATTTAATTTCGGTGTACTCCGTCTTTGATATGATTTAAATCAAATTCCTCGTCATTATAAATATCACGAATACAAATCAAATAGTTTTCTGGTTGCAATTTTCTAATTTCGGCTATGCGTAAGGTATGCTTTACGCATCCGCGCGTTGAAAGAAATGCGACGAACAAATTCAACGTTCGTTTTGAAAACATCAGAATTTTCGATAATTTTTCTAATGTCAGCTTTTTTAGCATTTTCTGGAACAGTCTGTCCAATCTGTTTCACAATTATTATTAAATCACTTTTCTTTAAATTATTTAAGAAACTCATTTTAAAAACGAAACAAAAGTATCACTATCTTCAAGAAAGAAATAAAGCAAAGTTTTCACAGTACCTTCTCTGAAGTATACAAGTATGAAGTATCCAAATATTGTGGTCAGAGCCCCCAGATTTTCTGTAGTAAAGGAGTTGAGGATGCTAAATAACAATTCCAACATTTTCCACACCACGGAACATTTAATAAAGAAAAAACAGAAGAAGGTACAAATTAGATTAATCACAAGTGCTATCCAAACAGGATTCTGTATAGCTTTTGCCAGTCTTATCACTTATTATCACTATCGATTAGTGCCTTCTCGCACTTGCTGATGTATTATACAGTCAATTTGCCACCTTCGCATGGAAAACTACAGTTCCTTATTCTACACCTTCACGCATAGACATCTCGCCACCTTCGCTTGGGATAGCAGAAGAAGGTCTCTTCGTCTATGTCATACTCCTCTTTTACCTCGCTCTCGCTGCTGGCGCATCGGTGAGGCCCTCTGGTGGCTGTGTTGCCCTTATAGATACTACATATATATATATATATGAATGGTGGTGAAAAAAAAGCCGGCCTGAAGAAATAATTGGAATCATGACACAGAATGTACCCTTATTCATGAACAGAAGAATTACTTTTGATGGAAAGTGCTTGAACTGGCCACTATTAGAATCGATGTAATCATCTGTTACTGTTACATGTCAGCACATACTCATGTATGCGCATTCTCTATTCCGAGTTCTTTGTCATTACACTTGAATAAATGAGAGGTGCAGACATATTTAATGATGAAGTATTTGGTGAGGAAAGGACCGTGAGCTGAGGCAGTGCAATCTCCTGGCCGCCTCGATACCCAATCTCTCCCCCTGTGGTGAAAATTGAAGGATCATGTGTACTCAAATAATTCTAAGACACTGGAAGAGCTACTGCAGAACATTGAAAGCACAGTTGCTGCTATCCCTCTGACAGAGCTGCTACGTATGTCTCACAGTTTATTAAATGAGCACAGCGCTGCATTGACATCAACAGTGACTGTTTCCAGTATTTTTTTGTAAGGGGTAGTTCTCCTGTTCATCGAAAAGAGTCAGTTCTATGTAAATCTTATAAATATTTTAAAGTCGGTTTTATTTTATGCACCCTGTAATATACAGGGTGTCTAAAAATGTAGTGACAGTCCTTTAGGGAAGGTAGGGCACATCATAAGGACTGAGAATTGCATAGCAACCCGTGACCAGAAACGTCATCATATGCTGCCAGGTGGTGCTCTGTGACTCAGTAGGAATATAGCTCAGAAGAGGAAAAGTAAGGATTTTCTCATTTGAGTGGTAGCCAGCGTATAAAGAGCATGCAATGGTATACAAATGGTGAGCTTGTAGATCCACACTTAGCATATGGAATAGCTGAGGGCAATGGATGAGCCACTGAACGGATTGATCGAGAAGCTTCTCAGACAGGAACTAACCACACCACAGAGTGTTTGTGTGCGTGCATAAAAATTTGTGTGAATACAAGTCATTAAGAATTAGCAAGACTAGTGAGGGTAGGCCACGATTTTCATATTCAGTCATTATGGAAAAAGTGTGCTGGATGCCATGAAGACCAATCTCAGTACCAGCATATGTACCGTTACTTCTGCCTTAAGAGTGTCTCATTAAAGTGTATAGTATGTTTTGAATGCTAAGTCTTTACTCACCTTTTATCTCCAAAGGGTTCTGCTACTGATCCCAGGTGTGAATTTTCCAGCTTATGTGTTGTTCACTGATGAGGTCACATTCAATAGGGATGGTATATTCAATCTAATGCATATTTGTGGGTTCAAGAGAACTCCTGCAGTGTGCAGAACCACACAGCACAACATCGCTTCATAGTAAATAGGCAAGTTTGGTGCTTGACTGAGTTGTTGAGCCATTCATTTCACCATTCTGTTGCTGCAGATCGTTAGATCTTTCTGGAGTAGGCTCTTCCTGGCTTACTTGATGATGTTCTAGTAAATGTGAGCCACAATATGTGGTTCCAACATGATGGAGTGCATGCTTATTTTGGACTGGCTGTTTGTAGGAATTTGAAAAGATTATTCCTACATCGATGGATTGGGTGCTCCAGACCATTTCTCTGGCCCTATGCTCACCTGATTTATGATGCCTTGATTTCTTTCTGTGACCTCAAAGCTATCATGTATCACAATCCTGTATAGTTTGAAATGGTTGTCATGGCTGCTGCTGCTACAAACAAAGAAATTTCTGGTGTGTTTGACCCTGTATGGGTAACAGTGTTCCATTGGTGTCAGGCATACTTACCATCTGATGGTGCATCTGTTGTACAATTAGAGCTGTATTTATCCCGTGTGCCATTTATACTCATGATATCCAATAAATGTTTCAAATTAATCACTCTGTAGTATCCTTTCCAATCTTCTACCTATATTACTACTTACTCCTGACATTTCCTGTTATGGGTTTGTTATGCGATCAGTTCTCAGTCCTTATGATGTGTCCTGCCTTACCTCCCCTAAAAGTTTTTTGCTATATTTTTAGGACAACCCATTTATAATGTATATTATATTCAGGCTATCCAGGAAAAGAGTGGTGGCATGGAATGACTCATATGTCCAGAATAGCAATTTGATACTACGAAGAACCCTAAATTTTTCCTTTTTTCAATTCACCATAATTACATTATCGCAGAAAATTTGGGCATAATTAATGATCAGTGGCTAACTAGAATGCTTGGGCCCCCTACGTAAAAATTTTCTTGGGACCCTCAAAAATTTTGCAGCACTTAAAAAAATGGGAGTGGTGGAGACAAAAAATGTGAAAGGTTTTAAATCTTAACGCCCACCCGAAAGGGCTTGTTAAAGTTTTTTATGCTCTCAGTGAGCATGCAGTCTATTAGACTGCTCTGGCATTCACTCCTGCTAACTGGCCTTTTTTGTTTGTCTTTTTAGATTTATTATTAAGCATAGTTTAGTTTTCTTTTCTCAGTTCATCATGTTAATATTCATTTTTCTTTCGAAGATGACTAACAAAAATTCTTTTTTTTTTTTTTTTTTTTTCTTTTTCTTTTTTCATTATTAACTTTTTATGTTTTAGGTTTATTTAATAAGTTTATTTAACACCACTTAAAATTCAGTTCAACAGCAAAATTACGATATATTTAAAAAACAGCATATCTTTAGAATTCCCAATAGAATGTTAGCCATACATATTTTATATTATGTTCTACATTATTTCTTTAAAAACTAGCCACTGATGCTGCCAACTGCGTGATATATATCCCTTGTCAGAAAAGTTCCAGTACTATTGGTCAGGGTTGTGTTTAATTATTTAAGACTAACATTCATACTGAGATATATGTTAATTCAGAACTTGGAGCCTAAATTTTGAATTCCTTAAGTTGTTGTTTATTAATAATATTAAGGTCTCTGGTAATATTGTGGATAGAGTCATTAATTGGGAAATATTTATGGCATTTTTCGAGTATTTTGTTAAATTCAATAAAGTTAGGGTATACAGTACAAAGTCCGTAATCCGGACTTGTCGGGACTTCGGCGATTCCGGATTGGAGGTTTTACCATATTATAGATCATCAATTTAAATCTGGTAAGATGGCATGCAGAAATTATACAGTTGAAACCGTAATTTATGAAATTACGGTTTATTACGGTTAAACCGTAATTTATGAAATTAATTAAATGTAATATGAAACCGTAATTTATGAAATAAAGAGCAATTATGATCTAAAGGGTATCAAAATTTACAAAAAAAAAAAAAAAAAAAAAAAAAAAAAAAAAAAAAAAAAGCGTAATATTTATTTGTTTACTTTATTAAACATTTCTTTCAATGTAACTTTCTACATTATCAGAAGCGTGCATGGGTAAACGCTTTACTGGCTTTACACGCATGCGTAGTGGACGCGCACATCAAACGCGCATGCGTAAGTTTGTGGCTTTGAGGTCTGGATTATAGATCACTCCGAATAATGAACGTCCAAATTACGGACTTTGTACTGTTTATAATCAGTTTTACAATAGTTAATATTATTAGTTTTTTTGTTTAGGGATTCCATATTTAATGGGATCATTATCCAGGCCAGAGCAAATTTTACATAGGTAGAGGAACTGTTACTTAAAGCATTGTCAAGTGCTAGTACTTTGGTTTTGTTATGCCTCCCATTTTTCTTGCAGTTTGCCGTTGCGCTTCTGGTATTTGATTTTTACATTTTTTTATTCCAAATTGAATATTAGATGAATTTTATTTTAAAATTTATTTTGCATTATATATATAAGTCAATTTACTTAGAAGCTAATTCATAAAGGCAATTTTTTTCTTATGTAGAAGATAAACCTGATAAAACAATTTTCTTTAGAAGCTACTTCACAAAGACATTCCTTTTAGTGCAGATAAACCTTTCATGCTGTGGTATATTTAATCACTATATTTCACGTACTTTATATTATAACTGAAGTTGTAGTTCATTTGATTGTTTAAGTAACTTATAAAAATATGAAATTTTTTTATAAGTTTGTTGTTGCATTAAGTAACTTATAAAAATATGAAGTGTAAATAACTGTACCAAAACTTCTCATTTTAGTGCATTAGTAACGAAAATTTTTGCCTGAAGCATGTTCTCCGTCCTTACTTGGATACATTGCAAGGGAAAAATTTTAGTATTATAGTTCAAGGCCCATTCCGAGTTGTTTCTAAAACTCCTGTGGGAAAAAGTAAAGGTAAGTAAGCATGTATTCATATAAAGTAAATTAAGATAGTATCACTGAAATATTTTGAAACATATCTATATTTTTATAAATAAGAATAATATTTTATTATTTTAGATTATGATATTTTGATCAATGATGAATATTACACACAACATTTTAATTTGTATGTTTATATATATGGTGTTAGAAAAGGAGGATGGAAACTTTATGTCCTTAAATATTGATCTGACTTTCAATTATAAAACTTCTGAAAATAAGATAAAAAATTTTATCAAAGCCGTTTCAGCCTTTGAAATGGAAGAGTTTTACAAAACAAAGTTTAACATATTATATAGTCTGAACAGAGCAAAAAAATCGAGTCAGCAAATGTACATTATTCATTCATAAATTTCATACATTATTCATTCATATTTTTATAAGTCATAAATTTAATACAAAATGTGCTGTAGTTTTATTTGAAAATTTCACAGATATTTTAAATGAGCGAATTTGGTGTTTTGATTACTTTTACATATCAGTAAACAAATCTGCAGAATTTCTGATTAGATGTACAAAGAAAATATAGAACAAATGTTGCTTATTCTGGTGATTAATGGTTAAGGTAAAATAACATTAGTTATTAACTTTCTTGTGAGCTTGCAAAATTTGAGAACATACATTGTCATGTATATATGTGTATGTGCATATATATAATATTTATTTGTATATTTCTCCCCCTTGCGTATTTTTTCAGCATATGTTTTAGAGACTTTAATTTATGGTAGCAGTGATTAAGTATGGATTGCTAAATACATTGTGTGAGTAAAAATAATACAGATCCAGAATTGTCACTACTTCAGAGTTTTTGAATTTCATAATTTTCGGGCTTTTAAATCATCAGTTTAAATCTAGTGATGTGACATGTAGAAATTATAAAATTAAAAATAAAGAAATTATAAAATTGTTTATGAGAAAATAAAAGTATTTATGACCTTAAAAGAATCAAAATTTACAAATATTTCTTTCAATGTAAATTGTTTAAGCTGTTTTGTTTTTTGATGACCAACAAAGATGATTAACAAAAATTCTTTTTTTGTCTTTTCATTATTAACTTTTTTTGTGTTAGGTTTATTTAATAAGTATCACATTCATCTCATTATGCCACTTAAAATTCAATTCAACAGAAAAATACAATATATTAAAAAAAAACAGCATATCTTTAGAATTCCCAATAGAATGTTAGCCATGCATATTTTTATATTTTCTACATTATTTCTTTAAAAACTAGTCACTCGTGCTGCCAACCACGTGATACATATACATATCCTTAGCTTTGTTCTAAATCTTGTGAGATGACATGTAGAAATTATAAAATTGTTTATGAGAAAATAAAACTATTTATAACCTTAAGAGAAGCAAAATTTACAAAGATTTCTTTCTTTCATTAAAAATTTCTTTCAATGTAAATTGTTTAAGCTGTTTTGTTTTTTGTTCTAATACTTTCTCTTTAATTTTATAGGTACACATATTTATTAGTTAAAAGTTCAACTGTTCCTCTAATTGCCATATCAAGAATTTCCACTAAACTGTCATCTGAGATCTTTTTAATCCCAACAGCCTATTTTTCTCATTCTTCACTTTCAAAACCTTACTACCAATTTTTTCATCCATTAGTGCATTGATGATAGGGGCATTGTCATCAGAATGGAAAATTTTGTTTATATCCTTTTAATTTATAATTTATTCTCCATATTTCTTTACAAATTCCATCAATTAGAAAATATAATCTTTTGCATGTGATATCTGAAAACCTTCAAATTCGAGGCTGTCTTGATTGTCACGATGCACTGCTACTGGCTGGCCATAAATTATGGAATACTCTTTTTAAAATATCTGCATATACATCTTCCCATGACTTTTTACAGCTCTATATAGCAGATTTTATGGTAAAATATTTGAAAAATTCTTGATTGGTCTTGCCACTATTCTAAAAATTTAGCATAAACTTTAGAAAGATTACTTTATATCTGCATTTTAGCGCATGCAGCACTTTGATAGCCATTGGCTGAATGATGGATGTACAATTTAGAGAAAAGAATGAGATGGACAAACCAAGACCAAAATTCTGAGCCAAATAGTTGTCTATAATCAAGACAAATTTTGCATCATCCAGTTAACAAATCAATTTCAAAGGTTGCCCAACCTCAGGTATTAAATGATTTTCAAACCAATTATTCATTGATATTTCTGTCATCCATGCTCTTTTATTTGAACAATAGATGACTGGAAAAAATCTTTATGTGTCCGAGATCATGTATTTTTCCTGATTACAAAAAGTTTACATTTAAGCATTCCTGCAGAATTAGTACATGCCAAAATCATAAGTCTCACTTTTGGAATCTTTGGCACTAGCTGAGGCTTTTCTGTAAAGGTTAACTAAGTTATTTCAGGGAAAAGCTGAAATAGACCAGATCCATTAACATTATAAATTTCTGGAGATAACTTTTGCTATTAATGAGTTCTATGAATTCATCTGCAAATTGTTCAGCTACATCAGTATCAGTTTTGCCTGAAATTTTTAAATGTCTGAATATTGTGATTTTTGAATTTGGCTAACAAACCTGTTGAATATGCGTACTCAATTTTTAAAGCATATTTCCTTATGAAATATTTGGCTTGTGCCCAATGCTAAATATTTCCTTTTGAAATATTTAGCATTGAACAAGTCATTTGCATGTGGTCTTGATGCTGTCTCACCCATTGAATCATCAATTTGTCTTTCGTGCAATTTTTAGCATAGCAAATGATATTTCTATTATTCATTTCAATTGGGTATCAGAGTCCACAGAAAATTAAAAAGTTTCTTTTTTTTTAATATTATTTTTAAAGTCATATGCTATTGACTTTCTAATGCTAAACTTCTTGAATAATTTTGAAATGTTTTTTATCCATATTTTGTTTGCTATGTTCAATGAAATTTCTTAGAATCTAATTTCCTCCCCCTTCCTCACTTCTAAAGAAAACCACTATCAGCAATATCCCTCTCCAAGCAAATATGTCTTGGGCTTCTAGATAGAAAAAAAGTCACTCAAAGGTGGAAAGTGTGATCGTGGCTAATACCAGTATAACAGCAATCAATGATGGTGGGGTTTCTTAGCTAGCTGGTATTTGAAAGTGATGAGCAGAAATCTCAACCAGTCAGAAAAAAAAAAAGTCTCTTTTACTTTAATTAATTAAAATATAGAATTCTCTAACAGTAACATGTGTAAGTAACAGTAACATGTAAAAGTACTGTGTTCCTGTGTGCTTTTTAAGTACACTAAATTCTCCGGACTCATCGGGACTTTGGCGAATCTGGATTAAGGGTATTTCCGGATTATAAATCATCAATTTAAATCGGGTAAGATGGTATGTACGGACTCATCGGGACTTTGGCGAATCTGGATTAAGGGTATTTCCGGATTATAGATCATCAATTTAAATCGGGTAAGATGGTATGCAGAAATTATACAATTAAAATTATGAAATCATAATTTATGAAATAAAAAGCAATTATGATCTAAAGGGTATCAAAATTTACAAAAAAAAAAAAAAAGCTTTATATTTATTTGTTTACTTTATTAAACATTTCTTTCAATGTAAATTGTTTAAGTTGCTTCGCTTTTTGTGCTGATACTTTCTCTTTAATTCTATAAACAGACAAAATTTCGTGTTCAGTTATAAAGTTCCACTATTCAAGTCCTGTAATTGCTGTGTCGAGAATACTGATTAACTTGTCAATCAAAATTTTTTCGTTTTCAATAACCTCTCTGTCACTATCGGAAGTGGTATTTTCTGAATCTAGAACCGTACTACAGATTTCGCTGTCCATTAATTGATTGATGATTGGGGCATTGTCATTGCAATGAAAAACTTCTGTCATATCATCTTCATTTATTACCACTTCTCCACATTTCTTTACAAAATCCAATAACTGGAAATTTCACCTTTAGTTTGTGATGTCCAAAAACCTTCAAATTCGCGGTTATCATCTTCATCGTCCTCACCATGAAGTATTGAAGCTGGCCATAAATTATGCCAAGCATTTTTTAATGTATCTGGAGACACATCCATAAAGCATACAAAAAAAAAGTTTGTGGCTTTGAGGTCCGGATTATAGATCATTCCGGATAATGGACGTCCGGATTACGGACTTTGTACTGTATTATATAATTTTCTTTTTTGACTTTCAAGAAGTGAAATAGTTATATATAAAAAAAGGGAGATATGCAAGTAAATATAACGTGTATATATGTGTGTGTAAGGAATGGCTTCTTGTTTTTTTCATGGTGTTCTGTATGAAAACAAATGTTAAAAAATTTCAATATTTGAATTTTAAGTGTACAAAATTTTAATTGCAAGCAGATTTTAAATGAAATGGTTAGCCATTATAAATAAAGTATGAACCCTAAAGAATTGAAATAATTAACCAAACTTGGATTTCAAATAGAAAAGTTTAGTGTATTTCACGAGATAAATAAAGTTATTATTTTTTCAGGAGCAAGTAATTTTAATTCTTCCCGAGGGAGAATAGGTTACATTGTTTATCTTTAAAAATGCATAGAACCTTTTTGTTTAACATTATAGAAAAGTTTAATGCATTTCAACAGATAAAGTAGTTATTTTTTGAGGAGCAAGATAATTTTGATTCTTCCTGGGGAAGGATAGGTTACATTGTTTATCTTTAAAAATGCATTGAACCTTTTCATTTAGCATTTAATATTAAAAAAAAAGTTTTTTTATATTTTTTCATGCTTAAAATTAATATACATTTCTCACATTTATTAATTCTTGAATAAATGTGAATGTTGAATGTTAAATTCTTGAAAAATGCTTGATTAAAAAAATTATGTTAACACTCTAAATTCTATTTTTTTTTTTTTTTTTTTAAACTTGTAATGTGTATTTATTGTAACGTATTCATTTATTGCTTTAGATCTTTTGTCCCTTGCCAGTCCTGAATCATCAACAAGTTCTCCTGAGAATTTTGTGGTAGATTATTCTTTTGATAAATTAACTGGAAATAATAAAAAGAATCCAGTGTCACAGCAGCTTGTTTTCATTGGTCTCTCAACTGAAGCAGTCATTGGAATTGCATTTGCATCATTTATCATTGGTGCTGGTTTGATGGCTACATTATGGCTTATTCATATGCACACAGGTAAATATTTATCTTTGTTGTTTCCAAGATAATTTAATAGATTATAAAAATTGACAGTAAAATGTTTTAAGAATGATATAAATTGACAGTATAGAGTCTGTGACCAGTAATATAAATATAATGCATATTTAGTAAAAATACATGTATGGAAGAATTCAGTTTAATTCAAGTAAAATCTCATAAAATCAGAATCTAAGTTTTAAAGAGATTCATCTACTAAAATATCCTTTTAGGAAAGTTGGCATTTTAAGTGCATGTGTTGTAGATGCATAAAGAAGAAACTTGCAGGCATGGTTTTGTTATTCTTTTAATTGACACACATTTTTAAGTTAGCACTAATAAATTGGCACACTGATTGCCTGTTTTTTTAATTTTCTATGTTTTTAATGACAACAGGGAGCAACAAGTTTACAATAGAAAGCAGAGAAGCAAAGGTGACATACTGCAAGATGAAAGTTAAGAAGAGTAGATTTATTATGGTTTAGAAATTTTCTTATTGGCTGTTTGAGTTTCAGTTTTCAAAATCATCTGCATCACCAGTGTTATATAAGAATCGTATAACATGAAATTAATTTTAATATGATGCAGTTTAAAGTGATTTATTATATACAGGTACTATTTTTAGGATAAAAATTAAAATACAATACAAATTAAAATAAAGTGTTAACCTTTTAACTGTCGAGTTATTTTGATGATTTGGGTGCATAAGTAATTTTGTTTTATTTCAAAAATGAAATGTTTGCCTCATAGTCAAAAAAATCAAAAAAATGCTGTGCACTTTGAACTTTAACCTCTATCCTTTGAAACATTCAGTAAAATGCTGCCATCTGTTGAAATGAAGCCAAAATAAACTTCTCACGATATATATTCAGGTATAACAATACGATGCACTCAAAAAAAATTAGCCCAAGTAATACTCGGGCGTGACATTTTGGAATACTAATGCTGTGCCCGAGATTATTTCAGGCATGACAGTTAAGAGGTTAGGCAAATTAAAGTTAATATTTTAATTTAGGGGAAATCCCTGTCAAAGAGAAAAAGGCTTAAGCCCTTTTTAAGAAGAAGCATTAGAGCAGTAACAGAAATATCATTATGAATCATATAAATCATGAAATTTTGAACTAAATAATAAATTTTTTGAAGATAATTACAATTTTTAGCATCCAGTTTGGAAAAAGTTCTTCTTTTAGTTAGTATTTGGCTTTACATTTTATAATTTAAAAGAGAAGATTCAGGTACTTACAGTTGTTGCTGATTAAATATCTTGTTCTTTATTCTTGAGCAGAACAATTCAAAAGCAAACCATACATCATAAGTGCTTGTCCTTCAAGAATTACATTGATACCAAATACCCCCGATTAACAGATTTTGGAATGGTTAGAGAAACAAAGGATATGCCTTTATCCATTTTTTGCAGCAATTTCACTTTTTGTTTAATGGACTTCGAAATATACTTTCACTTTGTAGATCCTTTACATATTAGTAAATATATATCGGAAATTCTATTTGACATAATCGAAAGTTCAAGCTTACTTTTATAAAATTGCTGTAGTAGTCTTCAAAAAATAATAAGCCGGATCCAATTCAAAGATTAAGGAACAACACAATCTGCAACATTAACTGAATTAGATAATTTTAGCTTACCTTATACCGTTCATTATACATTAAACGCGCATGCGTAAACGTATTATGCACACACGCATATGCGCAGCCCTAAAGGTCTTATGCGCATGCATCAATGCGACACATGCAGTTTGTGGCTTTGAGGTCCGGATTATGGGTGTCCGAATTAACGACTTTTGACTGTATTTTAAAAAGCAGTAGGCAGCACTCTAGGTAAACAGAAAGTTGGGTAGCAAGTGCAATGTGTTTGAAATCAAAGCTTAGGACAAATAAGAAAAAATGATGCTCAATAATAAGTTTTGATTTGTTTTATCAAAGTTCTTTGATATTTCAGCTTAAAAAATTGTTATTGGCTGAAGCCTTTTGTAAGTCATCTGCATCAAAGCATTACATAAGAACTGATACTTTCTAATTATCTATACCCCCTCACAAAAAGCCATTATTTTGGTTATTGTTAAAGATTGGTGTGTTCTCTTGAAAAGTCAATTAATCTCCGATTGATAACAATAATTATTTCTTCTTCTTCCCCCCCACACTTTTTAGTTTACTACATTGGTTATCATAAATTAAGGAAAAATCACAAAATAGCGATAACTCCCTCAAAAATAAGCCAAACCTTGTAAAATATTAATATGTTGCCAAATAAGAGTAGCTGAGTAAAACTGCAATATACAAATTAGTGGCGCTGCACTCAGAATACGTCATATACGAGAAGAATAAAAGTCCATGTTTGAGAGCAAGCTCACATATTTTACTGTGATAGTGACATCAGAAATGTGAGATAGCCAATTCGTAACAATGACCTCCAGGCATCATTTGCCTGCAGAACTACAATGGAAAGCCATTGGGAGACTAGAGGCAGGATAAAGTCAAACACAAGTGGTCAGATGGCTAAATGTGAGTACTTCTGTGGTTCATAGACTTTGGAGGCGATTTCAAACCACAGATTCGGCATCTAGGAGGTTAAGCAAGGACGGCCAACTGCTACGAGCGTCGATTACCGATATTTGACATTGTGTGCATGCAGGAATAGAACCACTACACCGACTCTTCTTAGATCCTCCCTTGCAGCAGCCACCGGAAGGTTGGTGTCAACGTCAACTGTGCATAGAAGGCTTCACGAAGGTGGTCTGTATGCGAGACGACCAGCCATTTGCGTGCCGCTCACGTCACACCATAGGAAGGACCGTTTTCAGTAGGCACGACAACATGTCCACTGGACGCCTGATCAGTGGAGGGCAGTGCTCTTTACAGATGAGTCCAGGTTTAGTGTAGAAAGTGATAGTAGGCATTATTTGATATGGAAAGAACCTGGATCCCCTTATCTTTCAAACATCCATTAAAAAGATGCATACAGAAGAGGCAGTGTCTGTGTTTGGGGTGGCATTTCTTTGGGTAGACGCACAGACCTCCATGTTTTTCCAACGGAAACCGTGAATGCTCTGTTTTATAGAGATGACATCCTTGATGCTTATGTGCGCCCCATGTGCCGGGGCAATAGGTGATGCTTTCCTGTTACAGTACGATAACGTAAGACCACACAGGGCTCGAATCGTAGATGATTATCTTCAACAGCAAACAATTATGCGCATGGAGTGGCCAGCTCGATCCCCAGACTTGAATCCTATCAAGCACGTTTGGAGTGCTTTTGAGAGATGTCTAGCTGCTCTCAATCTGCCCCCTCAGACCCTTGCAGCACTAGCTATTGTTTTTGCATATATTTTATTAATCTTCATTACTGTCATGCATATGAACTGTGAATTTAAACGTTACTGACAATTTTGTTACGGTGAGTTTTGAAAAACATGCTGTTCCTTAACTTTGGAGAGGTCATTGTATTATGTAAGCACTTTCTGAAGATTTGAACAGACAATGCCATATATTCTAAGTTTGGGATGACACATCCAAATTCATTCACAGTGAAATAAAGATCATTATGCCCCTTTCTTCTAGTCCAACAATATGTCTGAGCAGAAATTCACTTCAACTGCTTACTGTCGCCTGAATTCATCACTGTTCTTGCACCACTAGGATATATAATAATGCTGACATTTTTTCCTAAATGCTTATGTCAAAGCGATAAACTAATATGTTCGAGTTCAAAAACTGTGTTCCTCCCCATTTGCAATAGCACTAATAAATGGCACATTGACAAACTTGAGGTACTGCAGTATCAAACTACACTGGTTGTCATAAATTAAGAAAAAATCATAAAAATAGCGATAACTCCCTCAAAAATAAGCCAAACCGCATAAAATTTGAATATGTTGCCAAGTAAGAGTAGCTGAATAAAACTGCGATATGCAAATTAGTGGCGCTGCTTTCAGAATACGTCATCTGCGAAGAGCATAAAAGTCAATGTTTGAGAGCAAGCCCACATATTTCACTGTGACAGTGAAATCAGAAATCTGAGATAGACAATTCGTAAAAATGGCCTCCAGGCATCATTTGCCTGCAGAACTGCGATGGAGAGCCATTGGGAGACTAGAGGCAGGACAAAGTCAAACAGAAGTGGCCAGATGGCTAAATATGAGTCCTTCTGTGGTTCACAGACTTTGAAGGCAATTTCAAACCACAGATTCGGCATCTAGGAGGTTCAGCCAAGGACGGCCAACTGCTACGACGAGCGCCGACGACCGATATTTGACATTATGTCCACACAGGAATAGAACCGCTACTCTGACTCTTCTTAGATCCTCCCTTGCTGCAGCCACCAGAAGGTTCGTGTCAATGTCAACTGTGCGTAGAAGGCTTTACGAAGGTGGTCTGTATGCGAGGCGACCAGCCGCTTGTGTGCCGCTCATGCCACGCCATAGGAGGGACCGTTTTCAGGCACGACAACATGTCCACTGGACGCCTGAACAATGGAGGGCGGTTTTCTCTACGGATGAGTCCAGGTTTAATCTAGAAAGAGATAGTACACGTTATTTGATATGGAGAGAAACTAGAACCCGTTATCATCCGTGAAAGAGATGCATACGGAAGGGGCAGTGTCTGTGTTTGGGGTGGCATCTCTTTGGGTGGACGCACAGACCTCCATGTCTTTCCAAGGGGAACCGTGAATGCTCAGATTTATAGAGATGACATCCTTAATGTTTATGCGCGCCCATATGCCGGGGCAATAGGTGATGCTTTCCTGTTACAGGACAACAACGCAAGACCACACAGGGCTCGCATCGTAGATAATTATCTTCAACAGGAACAATTATACGTATGGAGTGGCCAGCTCGATTCACAGACTTGAATCCTATTGAGCACGTTTGGGATGTTTAAAGAGACGTCTAGCTGCTCTCAATCTGTCCCCTCAGACCCTTGTCGCGCTTGCAACTGCTTTGCAAGAGCAATGGCTCTCGCTTCCTATGGAACTGATAGACTGC